ATATCACTCAAACTCCAACGGGCTAATTCTGTTGAAGTTTATCAGGTTTGGTGCAGTAACCTGCATGTACAAGTACATAGACAAGTACATGAACCTGTTGGATTTTGTGAGGTTCAGTGTGCTTTCTAGTGCAGGAGCCTAGGGGATTAGGGTTAAAAAAAGTAGATTCAACACTGCATACTGTGCCACTGATGCAAATCTTTAACTCTAACGACCCCGGAATTGTTGCAAGAAACCTTCTCAAACCTCAGAACTTTCCACTGTGCAAGAATCAAATTATGGCAATTTCTTTGTACTTCCTATTTCCAAAGTCCATCAAGCCGTTCAAATTATGCAACAGAGGCAGATCTCTACATGCACCTCCCATAATCTATCCTAACTTCATAGTGGATTGGATGCGATCTTGAAGAGCATACTTGACTCTAGCCAATCCGTGTTCACGTTCAGCCTAGCGTTCTTGGCTCATTCCACCTGTTTAAAGTTTTACTTACTTGTTGAATCTGTACTGGCACCCATAGCAGGACCTGCAGCCGCACCCCGCTTGCATCGCCCATCGCAGGCCCTTCTTGCAAAGGATGCACCTGAACTGCTGGTCCAGCTCATCGATGAAAGTCTCCAGGGGTATGCCCTCTGTCTCCAGTAGAGACTGAGGCGGAGTGGTGCTGATCGACGGGCTGAAGCTGGCATGGCCAGAAAAGAGTACGTCAGTCTGTAACGGCCCAAGTGAGGATGCACTGGAGGCCATGTGGAATCCACTTGAACTTTGATGGTACTACCAGTGATGATTTCACTAATCAGAAGTAGTACAGATAGCAGGACTTCACTCTCATTGTTCATACGTGTGTGTGTTTCCTGGGATCAAGAAAACAATTTATCTATTCATCTATCAAGGTAAATGCATTACATTAAAAAAAAAATGATGGAAAATTAAGAAAAAAACTATCAACCACTGAACTAATGAAATAGATGAGCGGAAAATAAAAAAATAAAAAAAAAGAGTTTAACAACGGAATCATGACAAACATATTACTTCATTCAAAATGTGAAAACTAAAATAAAAGATATGAATTTGAAAGTGCTGTCAGCCAATGCCACAGGTGGAATCACTGGTAGACTGAAAACAGTAATACTCTGCCTTTTCACACTGAAGGTACCATTTCCAAATCACACGTTCTCTGCACATTTGAGAGGGTGAAATCCTTTTCTTTCTTTTAGCTTGATCAGTCTAAAGTAGTTCTCACCGATATTTCCCATCACCAAAAGGCGCAATTTTATGTATGTGAGTGGGGGGTTGCGTTGTGTTGTGGGAGGACATCTTTGCACAGTCATGATCAAAACTATGGTGTTCTATAGCCGCCAAAATTGCGTCGCATCGTGCCATCGCCCCGAAGCGACCCTCCAACAGCTCCATCGCGTCGCCCCATCAGGTTGTGACGTCGCCTCCTTTCTCATTACTTTTCTGCTGCGTATAATGCATTACATTGTGCCGTCATGGCGCGCCGTCTTGTGTCTTGCCATCACGTCGTATCGTACTGTCACGTTGAGCAGGTGTGATTTGGGGAAAATGAAAAATCCACGAACTTCGGTTGGTATTATTTGTACATGTACACGTGTAAATGTATGTACATGTACACGTGTAAATGTATGTACATGTACACATGTATATGTACTTGTAAATGTACATCTAGCTTTATGTACATGTACTGGTACACACATGTACATGTACACATAGGCCTACTTGTACGTACATAAACATGGTAAATGGCATGCAAGGTTGGTCATGTTCGCTGCATTAATGCGTGCATGTAGGCACATTACCCGGTATGTACATTTCATGTACATGCATCCCGAGTTACATGTATGCATGGTATTGAATATGTACATGTACATGTGCGACATAACTATGGAGTTCCATGTATGATTTTTTTTCTCTAAGTTAAAGAAAGATTGGGACACAGCCAGCAATTTGCGGCAGTTTGGAATTTGTTCCATGTTTCAAAAGAAATTCAAATTATTAGCCAACGCATTCATGAACACTTACAACATATTATGTCCTGTAAGCCTCCAGCCTCAAACTAGTGCAAGCATCTGAAGTACCCAAACTGATCAATCTTTACGAGGAAATCTTTGTGTATCGTCTCCCCTTCACCATGAATGCCAACCATAAAAATCTCCGCGGATTTTTGGCACCTTTATCAACAGATAGGCTCATCTTGGTCAATTATTTGATATACCATTATGTCAAATGATCAAGAATCTTGTATATCTTGTGAAACATTCCCAAAATCAACAGATTTTCAATAAAAAGCCACACAGAATCCAGTATATGTAGGCCTATGTATGTACACAACTCCACACATCATCCATGTTTTGCTGCTTGTGTAGCACTTGCACAACACATGGCATTTGTTATTGATTGCTTTACCCTCACGTTCTGACCCGCTGCACACATCCCCGTACATAAGTGAGAATAAATGATATACCCCACTCTGCCATTACTTTTACTACCACTACCCCACGCACCCAATGTGCATACCGTAGTATTTCAGAGGGAGTAACATAATTTTGTGTACTTCTTGATTGACTGTAGTATACTTTACCAAGTCTCACATGAACCTTATTTTGTAAATAATTCCACCAAAAGTATTAAACCAAAAAAATCCACAAAACCAACATCAGATTTTTTAAAATTCCGGAAGTCCAGAAGAATCACATTAAAGTTCCACCAAGACCCACATTAGATTTTACATTATAATGTCCAAACTGTCCACAGGTTTTTCTGTCTGGTGTCAATGAGTCAACACTGAAAAACTTGATCAATTAAATGAAAAAAAGCCTTAATTTTAATTTTAAAGAATCACGGGAAACACTGTACTGAAATTCATTCACATACTGAATAAATTTACTGAAAACTAGTAAGTGTGAGAATCTTTTCTGTGAGCACAAAATGAGCAGAACTTTGACTGCGAGCCAAACTAATTTCACCACAGACACTTATAAATCAAATAAAAAAATTGAGTTCCCAGCTTGACTAAAGATTTACATTTAACAACAACTTTCTGAAAAGAAAAAGGTCAGTGTTGACTGAGAACGAATAATTTTATAATTTAGACAAAGTTTCTTTCATTGCGTTGATTGAATTTCCTTGTTTGTTACTTCACTCGACGAAAACGTCAGCTCTCTGTCGCTCGCTCTAGTTTCATCTCTGCCCTGAAGATGGATATTCCGTCACTCATATCACATCGTCTGTCACACGATTTGGGTTCAGTGCCTCTGCAGATCTCACATACACAAATCATGGCTTTGTTCAAGATTTTTCCAGTGAAATCTAGGAAAATAAATGACAAATTAATCATTCAGTTTTTAAAACCACTTTTGCCGATAAATAATATTTCAAACGGTCCCAAGCATTATAACACAAGGCGTGCAGAAACCTTCTGAATGTGCGACTCACATGTCAAAAGCTGTTCCTTCTTCCAAACTTGATTTTACCATCGATCTCCGGCAATTCTCTGCTGCGCACACCTCAACCATTATTCTTTCCAAATTCATCCATCCCAGGGGCAGAATTCAGTTTTTCGTTGAAATCTGACGATTGAAGTCCAATGACCTCAACCAGCAAAACTGAAACCTCTGTTTGAAAGTGCATGCAACGCTTGTTATTTACCCTCCAGAAAATATGCACATGAAGGACGCGTTTTGGACGCGATGTCCTATCCAGTCTTTATAATAGCGATAACCCTATGCACGCACATCATTTTATCCAGGACTTGTGACATACACCCTCTACTGGCCTTAGTATTCACCAGCCATTTTTAGAAACAGTGAGGCATGGCGGCACAATACGACGGACGACGACACAACGCAACAGCACGACACGACAGTGCGACGGCAAGACATCAGGACGCGAGAACATGATGGCAGGACGCGACGGCCTAACCCACACTGCATAAAAACCATTTTGTAACAGGTGACGCGATGCTACGATGCAACATCACGACGGCACGACATGAAGGCAAGATGGGATGGCACAACACAACATGATCAAGAAACAACACCACATGACGGCAAGATGGAACAACACAATGTATTAAACATAGCATAAAAGTAATGAGAAACGAGACGACACCCCAACGCAACGGGACGGAGCTGTCATAGCATCGCGTTATGGTGTCGGGGTGACGGGACACAATTTTGGCAGCGATAGAATACCATACAAAACCCTGTTTTGCTCCAGTTATTGTAACTTTGATTTGGTATACCTGTGTGATGTCACCATTTTTACTTGTCTGAGTAACTTGTACTCTACAAATTGCCTTTTAAACATCTGTCCAAATGTTTGAGTCTTGGCCTATATTTTTACTCGAAATGAATCAAAGTTTGTAGTCACGGGTAGATCCCAAACCTAATTTGGGAGGAGGGGGGTAGAATTACTTTTCATTAGAACGAGTGTGTAGAATTTAAACTCCACTGACCAGATGACAGACATCAGCAACATGTAGAAGACGAACTTTATTTAGGCCTAGTGATAATTTGACCACAAACGTATCACGGTGAATAGGCCCCTAGTTTAGTTGCAAAAAGGAGATTGTTTGGCCAAAAACCAGGCAGTGGGATTATGCAAGGATCAACTCCCTGGTCAGGTTTGATGGGCTTAAATCTGAGGGCAGAGTCGATGAAAATTATGGTTGAAACATGATCCAAACAAAGTCAAGTGTCTGAAAAGTGTTCAGGATGCCATTTGAAGAATGGTTGTTGTTTTCAGGGCACTCAGTCGGAGATATTGCAGGATTTGGCATTGGAGTATTGGGTGTTCCTTCCTCCATGGGCAGGGTGAGTTTTTTGTACAATAAAAATGTAATTGGTTGACCCACAAGCATTACAAAAAACTGAATACAAATTAACGTGATTAAAAACAAGACAATAATTTTTTCTGACAGCCTTCATGTTAGGGTATTTATAACGGGCCATTTTTACACTTTTCTTCAATCATGTCACAATCGGAATGGGATTTAGGTAGGCCTATTACGTTCAGATATTGCATGCAATGCACCACATGCACAACCGTTGGCAAGTCAAGTACGAGGAATTGAGCAAAATGAAGGTGGCAGCTGTGGCTATGTTACTATGAAAAATGACAAGAAAAGAAATGGAAAGGCTAACTGCGGATTCCTGAGTCCTAATCGTCACAAATTGAGAACTTTTGACTTACTTCTCGCATGCTTCTCGCATCCAACGGAATTTTCGAGCTTTGGGACTGCCCCCTCACGTGGTCACATGCTTTGCGTGCGACAAATTCACAACCGCTTCGGATTTCATTGTCGTACCATCATCCCATTGGTTGGTGGATCGATTAATTATTTAGCATATTATACATGCGCATAAATGGCAATGACCGTTACAATCAAAGATCATTTATATACACCACATACGCGCCCACAGAAAACAGTGCAAAGTTGGACCGAAATAGCGCCGCCTGGAAATTCAAGACTATGGCCAGAAGTTTACTTTTCGTTTCAATTTTATCGGAGTCAGCCACGTGTTTTTTCTATTCGCCTTTCCCCGAAGATGCCCCCCAACTAGTCATAACACTGTGCGCTCAGCTCTGAATGTAGCCTCCTGGCTCTGCCCAAAATAGGCTAACAAGTTGGGGCTTTTTGTGAAAGGAAAATCCCAAACTGGAAACTGCCAGTCCCAAATTCGTGATTTTTAGAAACATCTATATGATCCCTCCTGATTATTGTTAAAACACAATTGGATCACAACATATTCATGAGCTAGCGCACAGAAATACAACGATTTGGTGGAATGTTCTTTAATCTTTTGGGCAGAGTTCTCCATCTAGCGCCGCTACGCTATACGCGGCGCTATACGATCTTTGGTTAAAAGTATGGGTGATCCACGATGGGAAACAACCCTAGAGTATGGACCTCCATGCATTAGAATAAGGACCCAAACAACCCATGGCAAAAAGAAAACCTTTGCTTCTGGTTTCCTAACCAATACTTTCCTAACACAACTTTTCGGCGCGACCCTAAAATTTTAACAGCAAGTTAGAAAAATAAATGGGAAAAAATCCTGTTGTATTTTCTATCTTTACAAAACACTTCTGAACAACTTTTTTCATGTTGAACTTCAAACGTTTTTATTTATACGATCTCCTTCTTACACTTGCAACTCCTGAAAAGAAACCCCGATTATTTTCACGAGTTCCCTTGTATTCGCGTTTCGCTGTCGCAGCAGTGAAAACACATGCGCAAAGCTCATTGCATTAATTAAGCAATGCTACGCTGGTTCCCGCCGCGCCGCACAAAAGAAGTGGGGAACGACCAAGTTGATAACAAATCACATCCCTCTCCCTTCTATAACATCTAATTCACGACAACAAACTTCTTGGAATAATCCAGAAACCACCCCCCCCCTTAGCCAAAGGATGATATCGACCGATTGTTCCTTGAACCTTGCTCAGATCGGTTTCCTGGTTTTCTTAGCCACACAAACACTTCTTGAATTTAAAAAAAAAACAAAAAAAACAAAATTCATGCTGGCGGCCGAAATCTATTCCACAAGTTAAGACGTAGAGGCGACATGTACATGATTATGCCCCGTATATTACACGCTCAGGCGGCTATGTCGGGTGAATGCGGACAGGGGAACGTCGTGTGTAGTGGGAGTTTGAACATGGTTTGAACGTCGAGTTTGTGAGAACAAAGCTTTCTCCACAAGGAGACAAATTTCGGAATTACTGATCTCAATAGCAGTTATTACAGAACTCAAGAGTTTTCAAACACAGTATGCTGGCATAAAGGGATGAACTGTATGAATTGCTGTACTGCTTGGAACTTTCCCAGTTCTTGTGCCAATGTGTTTCCTTTATAAAAACTAACGTCAGGAAGAACAGTGAGCCAGACTTTTATCTTTTCAGGCATCGACCACAGAATGCCACACACGCTCCCTTCCACCTGCCCTCGAATTTCTGTGTTATGATTTTCAGAAAGCATGTAATGTGAGCCCAAATCCTGATAGTGTGGTCAAGGAGGGCAATTACTAAATTAAATTTTTTATAGGACCAAAATACAAACACAAACCATGTGTGTGTACATTGTACATGTACACGTATGAGCATCAAACTATTCAATCTTGTTATAAGATGAAATCATATTTTAGAATCCTCTTCCAAATTACCAGGAGCGACTTTATTGATTGTCCTGGATGTAAATGGTCCTCGTAAATTGATTACGTTCTGATCTGCTGCTGCAACCTCGACACACATAACTTTAAGAACTACTAGAAACGAAAACTAGTGTGACCGCAACGTCCAAAGGAAAAGAGAGGGTTGCATCGATGTACCATTATTGATGTTTCATGATCTTGCAATATTGCCAGGTATATGCCAGTTTTCGGTCTTCAGAAGTTCAGTCATAGGGTGAATCATTTCCATACACCGATTCTGTCATCATGTAATCTGCTCTATGAAATGTGAGAAGTCTGCCACGTCTCTTTTTGTGGCTTGTCAGCCAAAAATGTTTAATAGGCAAACCGCAAGTGCGCCCTGCTTCATCTTTGGGGAAACACATTTTATTCTGTATAATTGGTCGGTGGTTTTACAGTATAGCATTTAAATGAAATCACTTTTAACTACGCACATTTCATTTGTCAGATTCGTACAGTACGAGTATAGTTGCCAAACGATGCCTCGTTTTGTGGAAATCTTTGGGTTGCACGGAACAGTCAGCTTGCGCGCTGAAGCACCACCACAATCGATTTCCTGCTTTCGCAGGTAGAATGGCCAAGTGTACTATCTGCAGGTTTGAATTTCCGCAATAAATTGAGCAAGAGTTTTCATTAAAATCTGATACTAATCTACAACATGCAGTCACACTTGTTAAATTTTTTATTTGAAACTTATCAATGCCACCGCCGCGTGGATGCTAGCCCTTGGTCAATAGAGTAAAATAATCTGGAAACCAGGCTCCACAAACACGTGCATGTAGGTCCAAACGTTAGTACAAATGCATATTTCTATAAACAGCCTTATACTAATCCACAAAATTACAACCCAATTCCAAGCACACGCAAATACTTGACAAACAAATTCACTTGAAATAAATCAATACTATGATATTATATGCACATGGGACGGATCCAGAACCACGTCTTCGGAGGACTAAACTTTGGGGGAGGGGATTAGGATTTTATGGCCTTTCTGGTCTGAGGGGTAAGGCTAAATTTGGGGCCTTTTGTACACACTTTCAGAAGGGAGGGAAATGGAACAGACTTCCGGTTGTATTGCCTTTCTCTAATTATTTGTCCAAAAAGGCTCCTTTTCGGGGGGGGGTGCCCCGATTGCAATGCCCCTGGATCTAGCCTTAGACACACACAGTGCAACAGACACAATGATGTGCAATATGTGTTTTGGCAAAATAAAATACAGCTATGTCAATTAAGGAATGGAAGTAATTTGTTTATATTTCAACGGTTGACAAGCTCAGCTGAAACTCAATTAATACGATTCTGAAAAGAAGCACTTTGAAGACACAAACGACACCATATTTGCAATGGACCTGTTGGAAGATTTTGTTCAAAAATTATAACTGCTAGCTTTCCTTCAGTGAAATTACAAGTCTCTCTGAACAATCGTTAACAAGAAACCGTGACTGAGAAACTTGTTAATTTATTTGACAATTGTTCTCTGCAAATTACTTACATTGGCCACAGACACGTGTTTTACTGTTGTTGTCACCTGGATTGGTTCAAGCATTTTGGGGGAGTGGGGGGGGGACGAGGGCTCATTCATTGGAAATAGACAACTTAGTGCGCACGTTTGTGTGTGGAGGGTTAAATTCTAAGGTCTTTCTCAAAGTACACATGTATTAGCGATTTTCATTCCTATGTCCTCCTTTATCTTTCCTTCCCTTTTTTGCACTTCCATTTTCTCACTTCTTTTTCATCTTTTCTCTTTTTTTGCGGGGATTATCACGCGTGAAAGTGATATGCAGTACATAACACTCAATACTTATAAAAATACATGTATATTTAACATTTAAAAATTTAAACAAGAACTTTTGATTTCTGTAAACTGGATGTTAAAATTGGCAATAAAACGTCTTGAGTATTTCGGAAAAGTTCTTCCACACTGGAGTTGTTAAATCATCCATTCGTATCCACTTTTCCATAAGCTTTGCACTGTTTCACCACACAACATACTGGTAAGCTTTAATGCCATTCCAATGGTATTTTCGTTCTTTTGTTTTAAAGTGTAATTGCATTACAAAGATCCAATTGTAATACTGTTGTATGTGTAGAAGTATAAAGTTTCAGTTATTTGCAACAGATGTAGACATAATGATTTGGACTGGAAGGCACGGCTATCATCATCATTATCAAAATATCAGCAAAGCAACCACCATCCTCTTCACTGAATACACATGTACATTTCACTAAAACGTTAATACAAATCCATTGTCACAGAGAATGTAAAAGCCGGTGCTGGTTTCACATATCCAAACAATAATTTTTCCCTTGTCTTTAGTTCAAAGAATGCAATGGAGGACTGCATAAGCACAGTGTTTACAAAATATTTGTTGATTATACTCTTCTTAGTTGTTAGTTGTTCTAAATAAATAACTGAATTTATACCATGAAGGCACTTCAGATCATTTGTTTGTACACGACAAGTGGTTAAAGCCACTCTCACAACTTAAGCGTATAAAGTGCATCAGTCATGCCATCTCATGCGCAGTGCGCATGCCGACTCGTGATGAACCACAATGACGTACATGTACGTGTACTTAAAGTGAATATGTTAAGTGTACCGGTACCGGTTGCGAAGCTAGCTGCTGATGATAATTATGCAAATAAAAGGGGATGGGCTCTGCTACGTGAGTGACTAGACGAGACGAACCAATCAAACGCAGCAGGTGCTAGGTACACGGGTATATGTACGTTGTACATGTACACTGTACATGTACATGTACGTGCTGCCTTACATGTCATTGAACCTACGACACATACACACAACACAAACGCACATGCAGAAACAAACTCACACCAACTAGTGCTCGAGTACCCACCCGCGTTTACGTTTACGGATAAACAGCCGGTGCTGGGTGTACATGTACGCCGCTAGCTAGCGTAACGTCAGTTTGGATATAACCATAACTTTTACACTCGACTCAGATGGCAAACGGGTGTCTAAGAAAGATCGCGACTAGAGACATGTTAGTCGGGTAAGTGCCTTGTTTAATAACCCCTATTGCTTATCTTGAATGACTGAGTCTGGTTTTGCACAACGGTAGAAGGGCAGTGTGGGAAGGAAAAAGGGGTTAACATTGCCCAGGGGACTAACATTTCCCCTTTTCCTACCATTGTGCAAAAATCACCAGCAACAAGGCTTTTTTATTTTCACCTTCAATAATCATTAACATACTTGTATGTACATGTACAATGTATGTTTGTACAAGTTAAATTACATGTAGGCCTTTGGGACATCTCAAAGTTGACCAATGTTAATGATATCAAGTTTTGAAGTCTTGCCAAAAATAAAGTTCATTATTAATAAAACTTAAAAGACTTCTGGCCGCGTGTGTCAGAAAAACAAGACTTGTCTTATAGAGGGCGCTTTTTGCAAAGCTGGCTATTCTGTTCTGCTCTGCCAATGAAAGACAGTAAAAAACAGTTAACATCGGTAATTAACTTGTTCCTTTTGCCCTCACCAAAACATACAAAAAATACACAGGTAGTAACATTGATATTACTAAATATTAAATACAAGTACAAAACTGAAGTACATGTACTAAAAAAGTAAGGTCCTACACAGTAAAAACAGTCGCTGGGACCCATTATATACACGGACTGCTGATGGATAAAAGCTCTTTGTAAAACGTTTATTTCCGTAAAAAGTTTTGAGACGACGATTAGACTAAAATGCACTGGCAGACTCCAAATGATTTCAGTTTTTGTAAGAAAAATAAACATTGACGGGCCTTCGTCATGATTTCCTGACAGTTTTCATTCCATGTAAGGTCCCTGGCGATGTGTGTCCCTAGTAATTCCAAACTTTCGACCTGTTCTACAACCTTGCCATCGATATAAACCGGCTCTTTATCATTCCTGTGTTTCCTTCAGAAATCCACAATCATCTCCTTGGTTTTGGCAACATTCAGAAAAAGGACATTTTCTTTACACCAATTTACAACAGAATTAATTTGAGTACGATAAGTACTTTCATCATCATTTTGGATAAATCCCATGATGGTAGTATCGTCCGCAAATTTAATAATTAGAGAATTAGAGTCGTCAGCTTTACAGTCATGAGTGTACAGATAATACAACAATGGTGACAGAACACAGCCATGAGGGGTGCTAGTATTCAATATGAGAGAGTGTGAGGTGCGACTACCGATTTGAACAACCTGTTGGCGTTTTGAAAGGAAATCCCAGATCCAGTTTGAAATTGAGACCGGTATAATCGTATTGAAAGCAGAGCTAAAATCAATGAAAAGAATTCTAACATACGACCTAGCCTGTTCCAGATGACGCAAAGCTTCATAAAGACAAAGACTAATCCTCTACACACCGGTTACTTCTATAAGCAAACTGATTGTAAGCAAACTGATCTACCTGTGAAAAAACTTTGGTAACATTTGTCTTTCCAATGACTGCCCAAAACTGTTTAGTGTCTTAGGTCACTGGATAATTTGCAAATATTTATGGATGAAGACCTTTCTGCAAATTATCTAAGTTTTTGTGCCGCCAGGAGCCTCAGACAATTTCCATTAGCACAACTGGACAATCAACTGTACTTCAATCAATCATATAGGAGAAGCAAGATTTTTGCATTTGAAAAATAGAGCTTGTAGGCCTACAACCGTAGGTGTGGACCGATCGTGACATCCACGCTGTCTGATGTTGGAAAATTACCTATTTGCCGACACGGAGTTGGGACAACCATGGGGGAAAAAGAACACACAGCTCAACCGTTGAGACAACTTGACCAGTAGAACAATGACCGTTGAAGCCCTGTACATGACAGAGTGTCACAGTCCAGAACACAACCGGGTTTGCTGTACGTGTACATATTGTATTATATAGTTTACTCTCTGCAAATGACGTATACAAAGTTTTACCCAATCATCGTTCATCCACGTAGACGCGTCACAACCAATCAGAGTTCTGGATGTCGAGGTAATAGTTCAGGCTTTGCGTTGTCCAGTATTGTCAAAGGAGGTTGAGTTATATAATCTTAGTATTGTCCGGGCCATGGTTAAAATGTTCCTTGGGGTTTTCGTAGAGGAATGAGAAAAATGAGGGTGGCAGTCAAGATCGATAGGAAACGGTAAGGGAGAAAGTGAGTGAAAGAATTTTGGAAAGGTTGTCATGACCGTACCGATTATCAGGTACTGGTCTGCCGGTTTGGGAGATGGTAATACTAAATCTGCCCCAAAGTCCTTTCTCTTTTTTAATTTTGAGAAAGCCCTGTGGTAAAGTTAGTTAGTTAGCAAGGGCACTCATTCCAATTCAATTTTTCTCAGTGGACTAACAACCAATTTGCCCCAACGGTCGATTTGTGTGCTGGTCTGTCCATATGAGGCACAGACTGTCGGGTTGTCCCATCAGTTGAGTTGTTTCAACAGTCAAGTAGTTCCAAGAGGAGCTGGCAAGCGGTCAAGATGTCTGAGCCCTGAAAGGCCCCTTCGCGTTCAAACACTCCTCTATCCATTACTTACTGATGGAGTATACAAAGGGTGGAAAAGGCCCAGTTTACGGATCTAGCCAGCAGGTCATCAGCCTGTCCCAAGTTCCAGTTGCAACTCTTCTGTACATGTATCTGTTTCATCACTTATATGTACAGTCACCTGCACTGGTTGTTGTGTATGTGGGAAATGGTTGATGGGTGCAAAAGGAATCAGGTTAACTGGGACCTAAACCAACTTAGACCCATGCCTACCCCTAGAACTGGGGGGTCGGAAGTCTGCCCCGGGGTAGATGTTGGACCCCACAGTTCAGGGCCCTTGCCCACTCAGACCAATCACAAACTAACTCGGACACACCAAGACTTTTCAGCATTATGGCATGCCAAAAACACATCAACAGCACTGGATAAAAAATGAAAGCTCTAAGCCCCTGCAGCGTGGGATTCAGGGTCTGCTTTATGGTCTCAAAGTATTTTGGCTTTTATAGCCATTCTGTTGTGCAGTTCAGCGATTTCTGTTGAGTAAAAAATCATTTTAGCATGATTATGAATCATAAAATACCAAGTGCCCTCTTACCACATACATCATCACATTCTGAACATTTCCTTTCGTAAATGCAGAATTTAAAATTCTCAGTGCAAAGTTGCAGCAGAGAAAAAAAGACAATTTATTGGAATTTAATAACTGAAAGACATATAATCTGATGATAATTGGGGATTTTCTGAAACACTGAGAGTTATCGTTCAAGTGAACTGTACTTGGCGCTGAACAGTGTGCTGATTATTTCATTATTGAATTGGACTGTTGAAGTGAGGTAAGTACAATTACGCCATTATGTCAAACGAAGTGGCTATTTGTGCGGTAACCATAACAAACTTCAAAATTCTAAAGTTAAGGTAGTACATAATGATAATTATCGTTGGTAATCTGAATAAGGGTATAATTTCCCAATGCTGATGTGGCAGTGCAACATCATAGTCAGTACGTACATGTAGGCTGTTGTGTGATTGGTGTGAGCCAGGTTCGAGTCCTGCTCTTGTGGGAATTTTTTTCTTGTTTTTTTTTTTGCCTTCTTCATTTCCTTTATTGTCTCAATCAGATCACGTTTGCCAGTTTCTATACAAGTTTTCTTGTCCTTTTTGACAAATTCATACTTCTGAAGGATTTGTTAATTAAAGGGAAAGGGAAATAAAGTCCAAGTCCAAGATCCATTTGTTGTAGACTGGTCTGGTTCCTGTTTCCAATGTAGGCGAATCTGTCTGAACTCACGTTACAATAATTCCTGCGTATATCAAAGGTTGTCAGGAAATTTCAGCCATTAAATTGATTGAAATCCTAACCAAATAAGGGCGGATTAAACCTAACATCCCTGACCGTATACAGGTAGCTTCTAGGTCCCTAATTTCACCACTTAGTCAGATTGGTTTTCACAGTAAGTGGCAAAATAAGGGACCTGAAGACTACACGGTCACGGACATTAGTTGTAAACTTATGGACCCACTGATGACCATATGTTTCACTATTTGCAGAATGGGGCATGAGGACTATCATTGCAGTGTTTGCCACAAATGGCTGGACCAGGAACCAAGGATGTGTAGTGACAAACGCACTTGTTACTACTGCTACATGGAGATTCAGATCAAAAGGTAGGTGCTATTTAAATAATTGTATTTCATGTTTTTCATAGAATATCCTGTACAAAGAATTTAGTTTATGTTTCAGCATTGTCTTTGAAACTAAGTGTCAATGAAGACTTGAATTACAGGTAGTCATATCATGTAGTCATACTTATATACTTGGCACAAAGCATCCGTGGATGAAAATATGCAGCTCGTATTGTCTTATCTTAATCATGCTGTAATAATCATACTTAAATTGTATTAATTACACCTAGAGCATGATACATCAATATCACTGCATCTTGTCTTACATGCAGTCTTTTATAGGTCAAAAACTGTTGTGTGCTTGCACCCACTCTGTGTTTATTCTGCTGCATTGACCAAAGCTTTGAAAAGGTAGTGAAACGATTGGTTTTAATAATTCCTTTATTTCCAGTGATTTTTTAATGTATAGAAGTTTTGTATTCTGTGTCCTAAAATACAGGAACAGAGGTATGATTGCATTTTGCTTTTGTAAAGAGTTTCAGACAAAATGAAATTATAAAACCTGACAACTTTGATTATCAGATCTGATGGCTGACTGAGTGAGATATGGTCAGAAGATTGGGGCATGTTAGAAGTACTAGGGATCAAATCAGTGTTGTAGTCGAGTGCTTTTAGAGTACCAAGGTTCTCTCTGCCAAATGTTGAACTGGGTAAGAGGGAATAAAGCTGGAGGCACTTTGATGGAACAATAAATGTACATAAATGTAAGATTACAAACTAAATTTAAGACTTCAGACCCTCCCAGTTTTATTTTGTAATTTTACTTTTGTGCATGTACCATCAAAGCCCATGTCCCTCTTAACTAGTTAAATTTTTTAAACAAATCATATACCGTAAACTCCGGCTAAGTCGGCACTCTCGTGACTCAAGAAATTATGACAACTTACACGTAGACACGTAATGCCTACGTACATTATGATTCCTTGCACTAATTCAATGTACCCTGGTTTATTTCTACCTCCATGGTCGATCCCACCAAATTCGTTCTCGATTATTATCCTGCAAATTCAATAATTGATCATGTGCCCCTAAAGACGAAGCAAGGACGGCAAGCCTCTTGCAAAGTTGCATACCACATCGCGACTCGATAGTGCAGTTAGTAGTACAGTGGTACATATTAGTATGTACATGTACATGTACGTGATACAATTACGGTACAGAAAACATACACTCATCCACACATGCGCACTGGTGAAGTTCGCTCCATATAGTCTGGATACCAGACCTGATGATTCTGACTACCCGACGAATCATTATCAACGGTTATCCGGGATTCTTTAGGCAGGGAACCAGACTACGTTCAATAAGGCAACCACCAAAATGGACAGAGCGCATGCGTGGAGCATTAGAGGGGTTACTGGTATTGATGTACTCGTGCTGGCTGCACACGCACGGGACTTGTCACTTGACACTTCTTGGTAATCGCAGTGAAGGAAACCAATACTGAAGCACGATTTTTTTAATGCCGACCTACATATAGGAATTTTTGTGGTTTTGTGGAAAAGGGACCGAGAAACACATGCCGACATATTCGAAAGGATGAGTATAAGTGCCAACTTAAAATGAAATTTTGAATGGAAATGCATTACATACGATTGGACTTTTGTCAAACGGCCGACTTGGACAATATGACGGGTTACTCAATGTCGACTTAGTCAGAGTTTACTGCAGTTCAATTTTTGATAGAACACTTGGTACTCAAAAAGTAATTGGCTACAACAATGGATCAAATGGAACTGTAAAACATCTGGCTTTGTTGCAGCGTTTTACTTTTTCACCCGTATGCCACTTTATTTTCAGTCAGGAGGTTATATTGATGGCAATCAATTGATAAGATTTAGAGAGTTGTTCAATAGCAATTGTGTTATTTGACATGTGGGCGTTTAAACACCTGTAGGGCAACAGTGAATGTAAATCAAAGTGGCATAAACACCCGGGTATTAAATGTATCAAATAATATGTTTCCTTGCCTTGTGATTTTTCTACCAACTGTTGGCTAGTATGAAGCGATTTTACAGGTTAACTTAGTAGTGAAGTCCTTTGTACTGTGCTGTACAGTGCAATGTTGTTGTGGTTAGTCCCTGTGTAAATGGGCATTTAGTATTTTCCAGAAGACACCTACATGTACACTGTACATGCACATGTAGTTATGCGTGTGTTGTCAAGTATACAACTACCACTAATTCATTGAAGAATGTACATGTGTGTATGGTGCTTAACCCTAACAGAGGCTAACAGTCCTCAATCCTTCACCTGTTGGAGGATTGAGGACTGTTAGGGTTAAATGCTTCCCAAAATTTCAAAAAGTCCAAGCACAACTGTACATGTACACATGTATGATACATTATCACAAATTTTCAAATTAATTTGATTTACAGAAAAGGGGAATACTGGTGCCGTATTTAAATTAATATTTCAAACAGTGACATTCAGTTTAAGGTTCTCGGCATCTGGAACACTCCCAATGCATCTTCTTGCTTTTGCTTACGCTGTACACTAAACTCTTCAGTGTGTTTCCATTGCTGACATGGGGAGCAGACATGATGGCAGGTCTGCTACTGACTCGGGGCTCGATTTACCCGATGCACACACGCATCAGTGCATGTAGATTTTTGCTTGTGCATGTAGCAGTTTTACTGAGCATGCACGACGTGCATGTAACTTTTTAACCACCAAAATACTCATTTCCTGCAAATAATTACCAGAATAAGAATAAAGTTTGTTGAATGCTTGACCAGATAGTGTACAAACGTGTTATTTCTTTCTCCCATTCCTCGCAGCAGATTCATAATACACGTACACACACACGCTGTCATGACTGTGTACCACTATTTTCTAGAATGGGAAAGCCAGCCTGTGACATCATTGTGGCTCTTCACAATTGAATCCATTGTAGGCACCCCTCTAAGACATAATTGGGGCTGTCGCAATTGAATCAATTGTGGGTACCCCTCCATGCAATGTTATTGGTTGCGCACGTGCGCTCTAGTGCTAGCTGTCAAACTGATGAATGCGTGCAATGTTGTGATTTGACTCTGATTCTGAATCTGTTGCCTGGGATAAGGATTCAATTAGTGAGGACTCTGAGTTTTAGTACTGGAGTCTTAGCATCAGTTGAACAAAGGGTTAATGCTTACATGAATTCTAATCCCTCCTATGGTTTTACAGCACAAATGTGCACAAATGCCCACAGTCACTGGTGAGCATGTAGTTTCTATATGGAACTCAAACATGCACGGGTTCAGTGTGCACAGTAGGCTGTCAGCACAAAATGACCCAGGGTCTTTTG